TTGTAATTTGAGATATTTGCCTGCAGTATATTAATTCTTTCCTAATGGTTTATGGAAATAAAAAAAAATGGAATTTAAACGTAGATTCTGAAAGGATATTAAAGTGTATATGTATTTCTAACTGAGTTGAGCAAATGGATCTTAAAAGTGATTGGGGAAAAATGCAATAGATCACTGAAGTAATTCAAATCATGAAATCATGATATTTTTGTAGGTATCTCATTACCATATATGGCAGTACTTTTTTTTCAATTGTTTTGAATTAAAGGTTTTGAATCAATGGTTTCGAATCAATGGTTTCGAATCAATGGTTTCGAATCAATGATTTCGAATCAATGGTTTTAAATCAATGGTTTTGAATCAATTGTTTTGAATTAATGGTTTTGAATCAATGGTTTTGAATCAATTGTTTTGAATCAATGGCATTTAATCAATGGTTTTGAATCAATGGTTTCGAATCAATTGTTTTGAATCAATTGTTCTGAATCAATGGTTTTCAATCAATGGTTTCGAATCAATTGTTTTGAATTAATGGTTTTGAATCAATGGTTTTGAATCAGTGGTTTCGAATCAACAAATCTCATTGAAATATACTAATCTGTGTTAAAATGAATATTTAAATTACTCAAGTTGTTATAATAACTGGACTGAGTGTCCAATTATTAGATTAATCTCAATAATTCGTATGAGGTTTACGAGAGAATAGTGATATCTAATATAGTTTTCTTCCGCACTTTTGTGATTTTAGATATAATGTTTGTTACGTTTCTGTGGGTTTTCCAAAATAAGAAAATAAAAATAAATGGAAATAATAATTGTATCTTACAGGTTACGGAAAAGGAATTTTGGGGCATGAATTTCATTACTGTCCAGTAATAACATTTCCTTCAAAAAAAAATATATGGTTAATAAAATCAAAATATACGGTAATTTAAAACATTCATTAGGTAATTTTCCCGTTCATATGGTAACGGGTTTTGAAATTACCACACGTTTAGTAAAACGTTTAGTAAAAAACACGTTAAACACGTTTAGTAAAAAAGCAAAGCTAAAAGGCAAATTTAACCGAATGAATGGTTTTTATGCAATGCGGTAGCATGATGAAATGCCAAATGTAACTAATTTTATCACATATTATAAAAACCATACTTTATTGTTAATTCCACCAAAATCGTTACCAAAGCGCTTCGATAAAAATTACCGATCTTTTTGGTGCACCCAAAGAGCTAGAAACACTGTAAATTTTATCATATTCTGGTAGTTTTAATGATTTTTTTTCTTAGAGCACATATTAAAATGCACTTTAATTTTTTCGAAATATAAATACATTTAAAATATCTTCCGAACATATTATAATTAATTTCTGTAATAATTTTCATTGACTTTTAAAACAGATTAAAATAGTCTATGCTTAAAACGGTGACTATTTTCTGTGGTACACTAATAAAAAAAATAAAACATATTTTGATAAAGATAAATTTTTCGTTAGAGAATATTTCACCTTTATCTAAGTCACTTAAAACATTTATCAAAATATCTTTCATTCCTAGAAAAAATTCTGACAACACAAAAATGTTATTTTTTTTATCTTCCAATTGATTTCCTATATCTTTCACAAAAATACCTCTTTCCCATCAGAGAAAAAAAATCAACCACCTCTATCCTCATTTATCGGATATATCCTCTAAGTGATATCTTTATCAGGTATCTGAGGTCTACGTAAGTCAGAGAAGTTCATCCTGTTAATACCTTCCAGGAAGATAATAGATAGAGAACTCTATAGTGCTTAGTGTTCCACGATGTTAAGTAGTTACTCAGATGAGCAACAGGTGGCAGTAGCATCTGATAGGAGGCTGCGGGCAGATCTGGAGGGTGGATCTGTCAGTTTTCTTGAGAGCAATTTTATCTTGGCTCTGGTTCCAGAACAAGCATCTAGCTATACATCATGTTGAATGGTGTTGTATGGAATGGGATAGTTGCTTCTCTATTTTCTACATATAAAATCTTTTTTTCTACGTCTTTTTTTACTTTCGAACCGATGAGATTTATTTGACAGATCTATCTTCGAAATAAATTGTTAGCAGCATTAAGTTGCTCCGAGAAAAAGCAATTAGTCCATGTCAAGTGGCAACCTTAAGATGAATTGAGCTGTTGTGTTGTTGTTTTCGGTAGTTTCTTTTTATCGTTTAATTTTATGCTCAGATTTTGTGTTGTTGTATGTATTTTTTTTATTTCATTGAATCCAATTTTTAATAATTTCCAATTCGGACAGTTACTTTTTAGCATTACATCTTCAAAAATTTTCTTAGTAATGGCAGTAGTATACTCAATAAAAAAAACAATGTGATTTATTTTTAAACATAAAACAAAAAATGCGTCGATTTACCACTTTTAAGTAAAAACGAAATGTAAAGTTTCTGTAGTTTTCCTACAAACCAGAGAACTTTGTACTTTTCGAGTCAAATACCAAAATTTTTTACATGATTCTAACTGCAAAGTAGTAGTGCATGGAAATTTGCCTCCAAGGTACGTAATATTTTCTTAACGTGAAAATCGACTATTTGATCTGAAATTTGATAAATAGTTACCTTTGGATGAGATAAAAACACTTTAAAACAACGTAAGTTAGTAAATATTCTTGGAAAGGGAGAGAAAAATTTACTAAAATTTTGAAAATTAGAATTTAAAGGAATCAGAAGAAATTGAGAGAAGGTGAACATCATTATAAACACGTGAGAGACATCACTTGCATGAAATATCATAAAAATCTTTTATGGAGAATACTCGACTTAGACCTTACGACATTTTTTTCAACAGTTTTGCAATCTAAAGACCTAATGTTTAATATTCCAACAAATAGTTTCAATATCAGCTGTATCAATTTTTCCAGAAATTGGCTTTCTTTCTCACTATTGGTTAATAGTAAACAGTACTGTTACAGTAAACTGTACATATTTACTGTTACAATTTCAACAGTAAATGCGAAAGCTAAACTGACAATACATTGTTTTCTCGTTAATTAATGGAAGACTGAAATATATCCGCATACTTGGATTTAAGTTTCGAAAATGGTCAAAATATTTTCTCCTCAAATTAAACTCTATTTGGAAAAATAACAATTCTTTAAAAGCAAAAATTCGCCAAATCTGTTTGTTGTATAATGCAATATTATTAGTTAATGTTAGCAAAAACATTAAAATACATTGAAATAGATGGCTTAAATCAATTCGATTCTCATATCTGCCTTTAAAATTCAATATCTCTTAGACTACGTTACAAATTATAAGTAGTAAGATTTGTAAGTAGTAATAACTCACTTTCGAGTCCGTAACTGTGAAATCTTGAAATGGAAATTTTGATTTTTTGCCTACTAGCAACACTGCTGTTTTAACTGCACCTTCATACCCAATCACATTGCAAGTTTCATTCGCTTTTTGATCGATGCAAGCTGGCTTTACTGCCATTTTATTGCTAGATCAAATTAATCTCAATCAAATTCTGACCACTTTAAGATTAACTTAAAGAACTAAAATTTTAACTGAAGCTCTGTACTGGATGACGATATAAGTTTCAATCGTTTTCTGATTGTTAAAAATAAAACCTATTGTCATATTATTGTCAAATAGAATTTATCATCAATCAAAATTTCGATCACTTTCCAATTATACAGAAAACTGACATATTAACTGTGCCTTACTACTTTCAATCGATTTCTAACAACTTCTAGCAGAACTTCTCGTCATATATCAAATACTAATTATCGTCACTACACATTTTGGCCGCTTTTTGACCATCCAGATTATATTTTATATAGAGTAAATCACAATATAATTTTAAAAGGTTTCTCGAAAGTTATAGACAGAATTTATCGACAAAAGAAATTCCAACCACAAGTTAAATTACTCCAACCATAAGTTCTGTCAAATTTTTAACTAGAGTTCTGCGTCTGGAGGCAATCTAATCAAACTATTGTTTCCTAAAAGCGGCTACAAATATTTATTGTCATTTCAACGCCAAACTCAATTCTTGGTGTGTCGAAATCTGATACCCTTTCTGACTTACTAAATTGCTCACATTTTTACTAGATTTCTGAGAGTAACGCCAAGTTACAATTGTATGTTAAAAAGTACTAATAAAATTTATCACCCACCACAATTTCGACGAATGGCTATAAATAGAATTAAAAAAGACAAATGACTGAAAAATAGAAATAATTAAATAAAAGTTTTAAAAACTACTTTATTCAAGTCGATTACAGAAGAGAAATTATTCTGTTTTGTCAGACCAAAATTGTTTTAGTAATAAACTTTAATTAATACCAGGGGGGGGGGAGAAAGAAATTAAAAAACCGTATGCCCTTCGTTTTCCGCTTTTAGTTTGACAAAAACAGAATTATTTTCTACTTATTAACTCGCTTAAGAAACAGTTTTTTATTTTATATAATCTTAAAATTGATAAAGTTAATTGTGAAGCACTCTTAGGTTAAGTTGGATTCAGGAGGTAAAGAGCTTAATATTTCAGATCATTATGTTTCCGCCTGCAAAGTTGTTTTATTTGTTGTTATTAGCCATTTAATTTTCAAGTTTATTTTTAAAATTGTGAGAAAATACAAAACACAAAAATAATTAAAAGGTTTAAAATATGAATAACTTCTACCTATTTTCCTTTTAATTTTTATGCTTAGTCTTCTCAAATCAAAATCATCAACAAAAAAAAGCGCTATTTTTAAGTTTTCGATAAATGGACACTAAAACATCCCTTTATATGTCAGGGGGAAATGAGAATCTAATTTCTAATTATCGTATAAATCTTCGGTACCTGCTGCCGAAAACAAAGTCAACCAATCCGTCGTAGATATTCAATCAATACCCCAAAATTGTCACGTGTCATATATTTAGTCGGAGAAGGTGGTTGTTGACAGTAGATTGCTCGCACAATACTGATGTCTTTAATGATTGTAGATGGAGGGACAATCTTTGAGTTTTCAGTATTTCTTAAAGTATATTTTATCTCGTTTCAGGTAAAACCGAAGACACGCTAGAAGAAGTTTCAGAGCTGTTACATCTACCAACAGATATATTTTCCGTAAGAGACCCAGAGGACGATGTTCACGAGTATACAGTATTCACAAGACAAAGACTCCGTGAGGGAGTTGTATTTGGTCCATTTACTGGGCATGTGATAAAAGACGATTGTGATAGCCTTAATGTGATCGAGGTATTTATTATTTAACTCATTATGACTGTTATACTTTGTAATCAAAGAATGAAATTGATTTATGCAAATTCATAAAAAGTCAAAATAAGAAAATAACGCTTAAAATAATGTCAAAAATGGAGAAGCGCAAGAAGCAGCTATGACCGTATTTGTCTCATTTTAATAATTTAGAAAGTTGGAAACACAAATCAAGCAAAAAACGAAGAATTATTAAAGATAACACAGAGCCGCGATGGCCGAGGGGATAGAGCGTTCGCCTTCAAATGAGGTGAACCGAGTTCAAATCCTAGTGATGGCTGGTCGATTGCGAATTCCACTTCAAGCTTGCACCGACCACAATGCTGACGTAAAATATTCCTAGTGGTAGATGGATCATGGGTTAGAGTTCCCTTGCCTTCAGGCTAACAGTGGGAGGCTCTCGTGGTCTTCCTCTCTTAATTGATAATTGTTATTTTATCATAGTACTTTAGAACACAGCATTAAAACCAATCATTCGATTCTATTTACTTTTTTGTTTTTTACTTATTACTAAATGTGTGGTATTAAAAACTTGACCGTTACCAGTAAACCAGTAAGCCGTTACCACATGAACGGAAAAATTACCAAGTAAATTGTTTAAATACCGCATATTTTAGTTTTAGTAATTAAAAATATGTTTTGTTTTTCTTAACCAGAAATACAGTAAGGTAATTTTAATAGAAATTTTGTTCTCTATGTGGTTTTCATGAATTTAAAACAGAAAAACAATAAAGGTTGAAAAGTTTAGTACCTCAATTGTTTTTCTTTTAAAATGAAGAGAAAGACAATTCAGGCAGCTAAGTTATGTTATAGGGCATAATTTTTCCACCCAGATTTCCTGGTTTTAGTTAAAATAATCTTAAGGTAAAATGACTCATTAAATCAAGGAAAATTATTTGAAAATCATATCACAATATGTGATTTCAGCTAATAATTGATATTTCAGAAATATTGCAAACAGACTTTCGCTCATTAAATATCATTTTTCAAAAAATTATCGAGATTTCGGAAGTTTTGTAATGCGATTTTTCATCATTATCGTTATTATTATTATTATTATTTTGATTTACACTTTTTGTGTTTGTAGCGTTATCTGTCAAAAAATTTTGGAGCTAGAAAAGTTTATACTTTTTACATGAATTTGCATCGATATTTTTTTTTAATCTTAACTAAGTTACTCTTGTAATAAATTGTTGAAATAAATCCGTCTAATTTTGACCACATTTTTAACCAGTGCGATTGTGCATATTTGTACAATGGGATGGTGTACGTAAAATTTTAAAATAAGGAGCTGTATAATTTATTATATTAGCTGCCTGGCAAAATCAGTTATTTGATTTATATACAATGTCATGAATTAACTAAATATAAAAATACTGCCTATATTTAAATTTATATTCCCTACATTTACGCCATCGAAAATTGAGAATATGTTTTGTTATTGGTCACAATACAGTTGAAGCCAACGGAGTTTCTGAAATAGGATTTTCTCGCTGTTTAAGAAAAATACATTTACAGATCATAAATACTTCCATATTCTCAACAAGCGTTAAAACGAACTTTTTCTCATAGCTGTACCTTCCTGAAGTATGCATATAAATATAATAGGCAATCGAAAAAACATAAACTATATATTCGGTTTACTATGAAATACAGAAAATAGTTAATCATAGTATCAGATTTGCTATTTAATGGAAGAAGCTAAATAGCTTTCTTTTAAGGCAGCTATAAGACTATGTAAATGAACTTATAGATAGAGATGAGCACTAAAAATATATACTCTTAATTTAATAATTGGTTTGCTACGCAATAACAGTATAAATCAAATTAAAGTTTCAAAAAAATAATAATAATACCGATTGTTAGGCTTAAAATAAATTTAAGCTAACAAAACGTAAATTTATATTTCTCATCTTTCTTTTTATGATTTTGTATTCAATTTATGAAATATCTGACAAATATAAATCCGAAAATAATTAAGTTCTAATTAATTACGAGCAATTTTGTTTAATTACTGAAACAATTTTCCATCATTTTATATGCACCTACTGATCAACATCAACAGGTCTGGGCATCGTTTCGCGGAATATATTCTGCTCAACACACAAAGTGTCCGGTTGCAGTTAGAATGACCACGTGGTCAACATAATCCGAGCAATATATTTGGATAAGCAGACCCAAAATGGTTGGAGGAGATGAATGTTTCGATAACAGTTACTCTCAAGCATCCTTTAGGCTTAGCAAAGATTTGCGGCTACCCTTGGTTTAATAGTCATTCTATTCAAATCTGATCCTCATCGCTCTTGAGCATCCTCAGTAAACAGTTGTTATTTAAAAGGCCTAAACTTAAGCATTGCTAGCAATTTTTTTTCTTATCTAATTACATAATTAATGACTAAGTGGCATATTTCCGATAATATTATTGTGTCTTTATTCCCAGAACCTATTTAATCCAAATACTTTTGATTAATTTAATCCAAATGTGATTGTGACACTTTTTAAGTGCGCAGTTAGCATTTTTTCTCTTTTCTCAATATCCCTTACAGACTGCCATAATAAGCAATACAGACAGCCAAATCTCAAACTTCGTAAATCCTAATACTTTTATTTAACGAATGTGATTGTGACGCTCTTGCACGTGCAGATAATATATATTTTTCTTTTCTCAATATCAATTACAGACTGCCTTGCATGAAAACGTAGAGAAATTAAATAAAAAAAATTTTCATTTTACTGCATGTGACTGCATAGAATTGATCATTTTCCGCGAGTAATAAATAAATGTTTTATTATTTGGAGTTGTTTTTTAATTTATTGAATATTGAAATAATAAAAGTTTTGAAATAAAATTTTTTTTTTTGACCGATAAAGTTTTTTTTTCGTTGCGCTGAATGACTTAATATCAATTAATTTTAGAGTTGCTTTTCAGCTTCATCTGCCACGTTGGAGTAATTAAACTAACCAATAACTCCTATTTTGGACATAATTTTAAATTGGCATGGTTCTCATTTTACTCTTAAACTCTTAAACTAGCAGTCAAATATAGCATAAAAATTATTGCTTATATAAAAAAAGGAATGACAAAAAGAAATCGGCTATACTTAAATCAAATTTAATTCTTGTGTCACAACAATGAATTATTTACTTAATGATTAAATTCTGAAATGAATTCAGGTATTATATTTGGAAAGTTTAAATGTTGAGCTAATGAATAATCATGAAAAAACTTATTATAAAAATAATCACATTTCATAAAAGTCACCATTTTTAACATTCCACACTTTAACAGCAAAGTACTTTAAATATGACTAATAAAAATGCTATACAACCTCATTAATGCAGATTTAAGAACCATAATTACCCTAAACGGAAATCATCATCTTTTAACATAAAACTCATCACTTTATCTGCATAATCTCAACATCTGTCCAATTATTTTGAAGGAGACTAAAGAGGTAGGGAAAAAAAGACCACAGCGGTGGTACTGTAATGATGTGGGGGTGTTGACTAGAAGTCAGCAAATTTAACGCTTGACTTATCAGTAAAAAATACGCATATAAAAAAAAAACAGTTAAGAACACTTGCAGCAGTTTCCATACAAAAAGAAATGGAGTAATAGTACAACATACATGACCTAGATGGGGTATAAGTTTAATTTATTATATCATCCCGAAAATCATTTTCGAGTTAGAGGGGAATAAAAGTGGTATAGAACACAGCAAAGTAATTTTTTTTTATCTTTATATTAACGAACGCTAAAAGCATCAAAATGGCTGTTCGTTATCTACTTGTAATAACTGCCCGGTTAGGGAAAATCAGTTTTATCGCTTGCGCTTTTGCCCTTAGAGTAATTCCATCGTCGGGTAGAAAAATTCTTACCCCGATTTTATTTATACCCTTTTATTTGAGGAAATATTTTCGAACGATTACTCCTCGACTAAATTTTGATAAGAGACGCGAAATGATTTTTTGAAAGAAAAAAAAAAGGTTAAAAAAAATTATAAAATCGTTTCCTATAACTTCATATTATCAAGAATTTTTTTTTTCTCGCTGAGGTTGTTACTTTTATTTTAACCTGTATTACTGATATATTTTTAGAGGGGAATAATTTTTGTCAGATTGGAGATGTTGATAAGAATAGTTGTCATTACTGCAACTTTTTCCCCAAAAAGAATGAGACGGGGATTTTCTGTAGGGAAAAATTTCATCGGCGACATTAAAACTTTTTGACACCTCCAAACGACAAGTCAAATCCTTTAGAAAAGTGTTGATAAGGGAAAAGTGGAAATAAATTGATGCGTAATCAGTTCAAAAACTTAATATTTTATTTTCCTTTTGTATAATTCAAACTATTTCGTTTTTCTTTGAATAGTTTATTTTGCAAGCATTAAATAGACTAGCAAGATTTAAAGAATTCGAATGAGTGTACAAAATAATGATATTAAATAGAAATATTCTCTCGATATAAAAATGAATGTCTGTCTGTATGTTTTCCTTATAGACTCTTAAACTCGAAGGACATGAAATTGGCAGGCATATCGCTGGTTCAAAGCTAAAACGACACATCTGCAAACGTATTATGCTTGCAGATGTGTCGCTTTAGTTTTGAACCAGCGATATAGTTCAAAGTACGACGAAGGTCACGGTTGACATTAGAACATTCTACGACAAACCGTTCGAGCGGGATCAGCGAAAAACGAAATGGAATTTTCTGATTGGTTAAGCCCTAGCCATTGTTTTAAATTCAAATTTATATGATTCAATAAATCACATATTTTAAAGATAACAACAGTGATATTTGTAGCTTATGGCTTTATTTGATAAAAAAAAACGAGTTCATTGTTGAACGAGTGGATTCAGTATCACTAAATCTATATTAATTTTATGCGTTGATTTATTTATTTACTTTCCTTAAGAAAAATCTTTGCTTAGCAGAAAAATTTGTACCAAAATTTTAGTCTAGAAGAGTCATAAGCGCTTTAACCTCGTGTCCAAAAAGAGCAATTTGCTTTATGTTTATATTTTTTCTAAGTTTAAAGTGGTTGATGCAGTTTAAGAAAGTTCATTTCTTAAACTGCGTTCAACTGTGTTGTGAAAATGTTTACTGAACGTTATTTACATAGTTTTAATTATTGCCAAATTAAGTGGGACAGATTTTACTCCACCTTAATTTAAAGGGTTTAGGTTGTTTTTCGAAGGCTCCGTCGCAATATGAAGTGATGCTGTTTTGCGAATAATATGCCATTTTTAAAACTGCTGTGAGCTTGCGATTGTTACTCGTGACTATTTATCAAGTTTAGCCCATCTAAAGATAGCACTGTCTAAGCTTATTTTAAAAACTGCCCAAAATGTCATTATGGAGAAAAGTCCCAGTTCTGTGAAAATTAAAAGCGTTTGTGGTCTAATTTTTTAATATTTGAAAACTTACTCCAAAGTTGCATTGCCTGCGCTCATTAAAATTTGCAAAAACAGTGAATACGGCAGTCATTTTGATAATTTTCATCTATGTAGACAAATGTCACCAAATTGGTAATTTTTTAAAAAAGCTTAATAATTTTTAAAATATTTAAGTTATATGTCTGCTCTAAAGCCAGATAATTTTTCGTGGCACGATTATTTATATAGTTTAAAATCATCGCATTGCTTTAAGTGAAAGACACTTAAACTATGGCTTTTTTATTTTCTTTGGCAACAGGGCTTCAAAAAACAGTTTATATAGTTTAAAATCACCGCATTGCTTCAAGTGTAAGACACTTAAACTATGTTTTTTTAAATTTTCTTTGGCAACAGGGCTTCAAAAAACAGTTTATATAGTTTAAAATCACCGCATTGCTTCAAGTGTAAGACACTTAAACTATGTTTTTTTTTTCTTTTTTTTTCTTTGGCGACAGAACTTCAAAAAGCAGCGTTAAAGGGTTTCATGCATTTCTTCATTTATTTCATATTTTTCATAAGTTTATGTTGTTTTGTACTTTTTTTATGATTTTTCAAACTCCTTTTTTATGAAACTGAAATTTGTTTCTTTGTGCAGAAATAAATATGTGGCATCTACAAGTATGGATTTATTCATAATTTTTCTATCAAGAGTCATTATGTTTGAAAACTAGTTATTTCTCAAACACCCTGGATAAATAATTAACTATTTAGAAAATATCTTCTTTTCAAAGAAAGTGTTCTTTTTTATCATCAAAATAGCGAAGAAACATCATAAAATCATTAAAAAAAACAGGATCCATCATAAATTAATAATAAACTATCATCACTATCCTGTCAGAGTGTCCGGTCTTTCCTTAATTTTGGTTTTGATAACGGATTTTTGATTAACCCTTTAGCGCACAGATTTTTTGAAAAAATCCGGCCAAAAAAATAGCAAAATTTTTTTAATGTAAAAAAACACACTTTTGAACATTGTCTTTTTTTTCGGTGGACAATTTTGATATACTACGCTTTTGTTTCATGGAAAAAGGCAATATTTTATTCTTGAATATATAAGTTTTATAGCATACAATTATATGTAAATGATAAATATTGATAAAACGATTTTTTTTTTTTGCTTTCACATTGTTATTTTCAATTCTTGATCATATTCGAGCGTGAGAAATTATAGCAGCATAAAATACAACGCCGCTCGAATTATCTCGAGTGTGCACAGTTTGGCCTGTTTAGCGCGCTCGAATTAACTCGAGAGCATAAATTACGGGGTTAAATTAAAGAAACGTCTATCAACATTTTAAACTTTTAATTTGTGCTTTTAGAATGTTTTCTACTAAAACATAAGTGCTCAGAAAGTGCTTAGTTTTATAAATTTTATTTATTTCATAACAGACCAAAGACGAAGAAGGAAGAGCGCTCCGTTTCGCCGTTACGGACGAGTCCGGTGGATGGCTCAAACTCCTCAAATCAGCTACCTCAGGGAGCAATCCCAATACTTCTCTATCACACAACGGTAAGTTTTGTGGTGTCTTAGGTGATTTATTTTTATAACATAATCATTGTAAAAAAATTGCAATTTCAAATAGGTTATAAATGTTCCTTCGTTCGCTGTTTAGATAAATCATCCACCTTGTTTTTTACACTAAATATATTGATTGCAAAAATGGTAGTTCTATATAGCGAACGAATAGATCTTAAATGTTCTCTCGTTAGCCAATTCATAAATCCCCCATCTTGGTTTTTACACCCAATATAATGATTGCAAAAATTGTAGTTTTGTTAAGGTGACAAGGGACTTTCAAAGAAGCAAAAATTTGTGAAAAAATCGATATTTTACATTTTATATTTCTGAAATCTTGGCATTTAACTGAACATTTAAAAAAAAAAAATTCTGGAATAAGAGCAAAATTGATGAAGTTATGACCATTTCAGTTTTGACCACACCCCTTTGTTTACCTTTTTTTGAATGCAGGTAACTGTTAAAATTAGTTTAGTTTAAAATTAATTTTAAATTAGTTAAATATTTTGTTAATTTTTTTAAAGAAATTTAAAGTATATAATTATTAAACTATTTCATTAGACAATATTTATAGGTATTTATATTAAAAACAAGAAATATTTGTTCAGAAGTAAAATTTGCAATGAAAAAGTAGTAAATGTCATTTTTCTCAAAATGTCTTTTTTGACAAATTTACAAATTTCAAACTGTTCCAGCGTAATGAATTTTCATTCTATTGACCTGAGAATTTAATGCTATATATTGATGAATATTATTAACATTTTGTTGGAAAAGTTTTTTGAATTAAGTGAATAGAATTTTTTTTATACATGATATTTTATAGAGGTATGATGATTTTTTCCTAAAAATGTAGGTTTTTTACTGTTTTTTTAATGTTATTTGTTTCTATAATAAAAAATAAAAAAAGTACTCCCAACAATTTTTTCAATATTACCTAATATGTAATATTTTAAAAGAATTTTGTCATTTTGACAAAATTTCAGACGCGTGGAGTAATATAAAAAAACATAAAAAATTCAAAAATTTTAATTTCTTAATTTCTTAAATTTTGAAATATTTCTTTGAAATTTTGTATAAAAGTTGTTTTTAACAATATAAATGTATTCTGAAAATTTCAGGCAAATCCCTTCATAATTTCAAAAAAAAAATTTGAAAGCCCCTTGTCGCCTTAAGCGAATTAATAGGTTATAAATGTCTCCACGTTCATTGGTTGTAAATCATTCACCTTGCTTTTAAAACCTAATATAATCAGTGAAAAAACTGAAATTTTATAACGTACAAATATATTATAAATGCCCTCTTGTTTCTAGTTTATAAAGGCTCCATCTTGGTTTTTACACCAAATATAAAGATTGCAAAATTGTAGCTTTATTTAGCGAATCAATAGGTTATAAATGCCCCCCCCCCCGTTCTTTGGTTGCAAATTATTCACCTCATTTTTATAACCTTAACCTTATATAATCATTGCAAATACTGCAGTTTTATGACGTACAAATAGATTTTAAATGTCCTCTTGTTCGTAGTTTATAAATCCCCCATCTTGGTTTTTACACCAAATATAAAGATTGCAAAAATTGTAGTTTTATTTAGCAAACAAATAGCTCTTAAATGCTCTCTCGTTTGTTGGTTATAAATCATTCATCTTGATTCTTACGCCTAATTGATTCATTTCAAAAGCTATAGTTTTCTTTATCATACAAATAGGTTAAAAAAGCCTTTTCGTTCGTTGGTTATACAGACAAAGCCTCTATAGTGAACCTCCAAGGGACCGAAATTTTGGTTCACTATAACCGGGAGTTCACTATATCCATACTGCAAACAATTTCAACTAATTTTTCCGAACTGCTCCTTTTTATTATACATTATTTAAATAAATGATCTATAAAAAGAAATACAGAAAATGATTAAAAAACAATATGTAGTAACGAAAATTGTGTTAACTTTTATTTTTCATTACTCTTAGTTTTACGTACAAAAAATTTAGGGATGGTCTTTATTTAGGGATGGGAAACTGAGATAGAAGAAGCAAACAAGAGAAAATGCTTATGGCTACATTGCACTCAATAAATAGTTTCCAAAATCAGTCTATATATTTTATGTAGAAATTACAAAATTACCAAAAAATGAAGATAAAAAATCTGTCGAAAACAGAAAAAAGTTCATAATATCCAATTTCCTCTTTCTTTTGATTCACTATATCCACAAAAAATAATATCTGTGTATAGCAAGGCACGGGAGCGAAAATTTTGTTCACTATATCCGAGATTTCACTATAAACAATGTTCACTATAACGGGGTTTGGTTGTATGGGTTTAATCATGTTCTTCAAACCTAATTGTAGCTCAACCATTTTAATAATTTTTCATTCATAATGTTCAAACCAGAGTAAAAATTGCAGTTATATTGAACATTTGGTTATGTTCTTTGGCAATCGTTCGGTTTACACACGCTGCTTTTTTGCAATACATTGCTGAAAAAATAGTTTTCCTAGAATGAAAATTCCCATTATTCTGTAAAAGAATATTGAATCTTTATTATTTAAGACTTAACATTGCGAAAAATATTTTTCGAATAATTTAAAATCCAAGATCCATTTATTCTTGAACCTTCAAAGAAATTTCTCTTTAATTTTCATCATTCAACAACGCATTCAATTTTAAAATATACACAAAAGCCTCAATTACCAAATAGCACTTAATTATGAAACATTAGATTACCACAGAGGCGTATCAAACTCCGAATAGATAACTCGAAAACCGGAAAGTTACAGTTACTACTCCTGGTAAAATCGGCCTGCATCTCCGAGGTTTAGGACCCAATCTCGGCACTCTTGGTGCGATTCAAAATTGGACAGAAAGCCTCCTTTCCTGTTCCCATTGTCCATTGGCTTCCGTTGTTAGTGGCCATTAGTAACTAAGAGGCGGGATTCTGAATTCAAAACCCGACGAATACAGCAAAAGGGCGCTTGCTTACAACAGAGAACTCACTAATTCATCATCATTACTAGTGCTGCTATAAATCACTGAATTCAACTTCCTCTTTTCATCATTTTCTGATGCTGCCTGATCGGAAGAATAATTATGTTGAGAAGGGTAGAACATTATCAGGATACAGGATCAGTAAAAGCTTCCAGTTTTCTGGAATCGTTCGAAAAGCCGCCTTTTATTTAGCTTTCGAATGATTTGGGCGTTTATTTGTGATATTCGGGTTGAAAATTCTGACGGGTGTAATTTCCTATTGCACTCGTTTTGGAAGTTTCGTTTTCCACATTTTAAATATCGCCAAGTGGAAATTTTTGATAGTGCTTTCCTGTGCTCGGTTTAGTTTTGCACCCGCGACATTAATTATTAATTTCCTCAGTTGGAAGGATAATTTATGCGCCAGATTAAATAGGAGAGGCGATGCGATAAATGTTTTCTTTTCGTTCTCGAAAGTTTGTTTCCGAGTTGTTTTGGAAATGGAACTTAAATTTCTAATCGGTGAACGGAATTTGAGTGGTGTTAATCTTTCGCTTTTAATTGTTAATCATTGGGCTACTGTTTGTTTTTATTTTCAGCCTCTTATTTGAGACACAATGTTCGAAACTGTTTGTATACGAGGAAATCAACTTCGAGATGTGGCTTAATTAAAGCTTTGTTTGTATTCAAACAATCATTTCTAAATTTAATGGTAATTCCAGAGTTTCAGATGGAATGATTTAGGAAAGTTATACTTAATTTTATCTGTTAATTTTTTTTCTATTTGCCAAGCAAATGACTTAAAAGAATTCCGGATATTTATACCAATTTTAAAAAGAAAATGGAAAATATGAAATAAAATTAATTTATCATTATTTAACAATTTCATACATTGAATTGAAATGTTAGGCAAGAGTTTTTTTGAAATGAAGAAAATCTGCTTATGAGAGATCGAAATATGCAAGAAACCTTTTCGTTTTTTCCCCCTAAATTCATTGAAAATTATTTTGTTAATAATGCTCCAGTTATGTAGTTTATCATACCGTGCTCTTAATGCACCAGACACAACTCGACAGCAGATTTGATTCGTCATAAAATATTAACTAGTTAGAAGTAGCTCCGTAATTTTTGTAATCGATACAATCGATAGTAACAAAATGAGACTTTGTGTGTCTGCGTGTTTCTCTTATAACCTCGTTACTATTTGAACTAGAGACCTGAAATCTGGGTGTATGGGACAATTTTAGCTCCCAGTCCTAAAAATTATTCAAAAACTTCAATAGATAGTTCAGGAGGGGCGCTTGAAAAATAAAATTTTATCATTTGTTTAGAGCTAGTGCCATTAATATGAATGAAACTGCAGACGATTATTAAAATTAATCAGTGATATTTCCTTGTTTGTAGATCTCATTAACCAAAAAAGGAGTTCATTGCACGTTCTTAGATATTTTGTTATATTTTTATTTCTTTTATAAAATAAACTCAATGATTATCGTGAGTGAGGTTGAATATTCGGAGTACTTCACCAAATTAGTATTGTTTAAGCAGCCTGAAACCACAAGCTTATTTCTTTTCATAATTGTGCTTTTGACTGAAAACAACTAAATAATTTAAAACAAATGGATTTAATGTAAAGAAAATAAAAAGTTATATACCGAAAATCAAAATTAATGAAGGAACGGTACTAGATCGTTTTGCAGAAAGGTAAAAAAGTCGCCATACTATTAACGCCAATGATGCTTGATTAATTTTGGTAAAAAGCACTAACTGGAGTAAAAAAAAAACCTGTATACTAAAAATAAAAATTGATTGAGAAAATATATTAATTTATTTAGAAGTGTATTAAAACGCAATACCATCTATTATTGATGCCTGTGATTAATTTATTTGGAAGTGTATTAAAACGCAATACCATCTATTATTGATGCCTGTGATTAATTTTGGTACTAGGTACTAATCGAAATTAAGAATAAACTATGTACTAAAAAGCGTAATTAATGGAGGAAAGGAACTAATTCATTTAGGAGCAATCAAAAACTCGCCATACATTTCTGTTAATCATCACTATAACTGAAATAAAAAATTAACTATGAATTATAAGGCAAAATGAATGGAAAAATGATACTAGTTCGTTTTGGAGAAACATAAAAAAATCACTATACTATTATTGATAACAATGGTGCTTAATTAATTTTGAAAATAGTCACTTTTGATCTGATTGTAATTGGCGATAATTTACATAGTACCAAATATACTAAGGCAGGTAAATTAGTATATTTGACAACTATTAAAATTGAATCAAAACTGTGCAACACAATACAGAACAATAAATTTGTGTAATATTATAAGGTTCTTATTATCTATCGTTAACGATTAAAAAAATTTTCTCACTTATTTTTTATTTATGTCACATTCTGTATTCTTAAGTTTAAATTATTATTGAATATAGAATTGATTATTTTATCAAATCAATGCAATCATTCATTTCATTACGATTAGTATAGTAACAAAATGTTTTTACATAAAATAATAAAAATCAGTTGTTTTATTTGCGATTTTTTTTAAATACATAGACAATCAAGAAAAAACGATGATGTAGGAGAAGCAAACATTTATTGGTCAGTAAAACGAGCAAGGGGTGGAGCATCCTAATTGAACAGAGAAAAATCACTAAATTACCACAGCCGCGGAATTATTCAACATATCTTTATATCCAGTTATCAAATTAATACAACACTACAAATTTACAAATAATATCCCGCCATTCACAATTAAAGCGTCTAGGATAAAACTAAATATTCCATTTTAGGCCAAATAATGTTTAATTCGAATACTTCTGTTGCTTCATATATATGTTTTCGACTTATTATTTGAAACATTCTTATTTTTCAAAAATTTATTAATTTTGAGAACTATTTATAAATTTACATCTTAAAAGCTGTGATTTTGATAAATACAATAATTAATAAATAACAAAAATCACTTATTTATATCAAACTTTTCTATTTTTCTATTATTTTGATTAAAAAGTATATGCTTAATAAGTGTTAGCCTGAAAGGAAATAAAATTAAATGCATTTAAAAATATGCATTTATTCATCAATAATGCATTCTTTTCATAACTGTTTTTAAACTTTTACTCATTTTTAAATTTCCTCTTAAAATAGAAATAGCATGAAAAGTCATAAGGTTGGTTTTTAGTTCTTCCACGGAATAGTTTTTAGTCGAAATAATTTTTTTTTCTTCGTAAAACATGATTTAGGAAAATCTGAATTGTAAAGTTGAGTGGATACGGTTCTTATGTTTCACTTTTGAAGTTTGTATAGAGATTATTAACACTAAATTGACTAAGGAAGTCATTTTGACTGATTTTAATTTCAATTAGAAAAACAATGATGACACAATTGCTTCGAATTTTGTGACTTTTTGCACAACATATAATTTTTTTACTGTTAATATTTACTAACAACTTGTTATATAACTGTAAATAATATAAAAAATGTTAAAAATTAATTTTAAACAAATTTATTTACGCATTCTCAATTCAGTCATTTTGACTTCTTTTGGACAATACAGGTATATACTAATTTTCCGTCTTTCTAGTGTTAGGGAAAACAAAAAGCCAAAAAATACCTTTTCCTTTGACAAAATGTTGAAGTTAAATAATTTTTAATCTCAAGATAGATCAGTTGCTTACTGTACTTCGCTACACTTATTTGATGGACATTTTATCTTACAGTCACCCAATGCATAAATAATTTAATAGTTAATGAATTTTTAACTAGAAAACTATATAAATAGTTTAATAGTTAATGAACTTTTGAAATCACTTTGATATAACAATCCTCTTTAATAAGTATATAAGTATATTTGATTTTCTGGTTAAATATGAAGCAAAAAAATTACCCGCATTAGGCTGTGAAAATTAATACTTAAGCAAGAAAAACACAAATGCGCTCTGGAACTTCAACGGATCACCATTGAGGAAATCATGATTGAAAACGTCAAAACCTGTTTGATTGCAAGAGGAGATGCGAAAAAATATTATTAAAAGCGTTTCCAAGATTAATCATAGGATATCAAACAGGTTTTCATGTTTTCAATCCCGACTTTCTCAACCATAATAAATTAGATTTTGCCAATGCGTGTTTCTTGTTAAAAATAGTAATTGGCGATCTCAAATGTGCTGCATTTTACTTTAATTTTGAGAAAATTAATAAAAACATACTTTATGGGCAGTGATTAGAGAACACCCTTTATAAAAAGGATTTGTAACTAATTTTCTGTCTTTGTTTCAGAATCCTCTATCTGGTGCACAATTACCTCCGATATCGAGGCCGACACAGAAATCTTAGTGAGTCATTGTTGGAGTGCCATAACACAAAAATCGGACGTCATCCGGAATGATTTCCAAACACGCACACATTCTAAACACTTACTGCACAAGAACAAAAGCAATCGGGCAAAACGGCGGAGCAGCGACAGTCAACACACTGACGACAGTGAAATTGACGAACGCGATGAGATCAGGAATCTGAGGACCAAGCAGGCACGAAGTCCTCAAGCTTATGATGAAAACACCATCTTGAATAAGGTTATTTATTTATAGAATTGTAGTGCGTAATTTATATTGTAATTTTTTGACCCTAACTTTTTTTCTGACAGAGTAAAAAGTTCAATGACGATAAACTAAAATAAAATAAAATTAAATATAATGAATGAATGAATGAATGAATGAATGAATGAATGAATGAATGAATGAATGAATAAAAGAATAAAAGAATGAATGAATGAATGAATAAATGAATAAAAGAATGAATGAATGAATAAATGAATAAAAGAATAAAAGAATGAATGAATGAATAAATAAAAATTAAATTCTTAAAATAACGTACAGTTAGCGAAATAAATAAATACTAAAAGGACCACCTTGACTAATTTTTAGTCTGATCATCGAATTTTCACGATCTAGGACTCGAGTTTTAAAAAATTAAATTCGATTTCTCAGGAAAAAGCTGACTAATTTCGCTCAAATTTTGTATATTGTCAGGCATAATTAGATTCTTTTAAATGATGTAAAAAATTATGTACCATACAATTCAAAATTTTTTCGACCTTTATTAAATAAAATAATAAAAATTTATAAATATTTACGAAATTTATTTTTTGATAAATGAATCTCATAATTGTGTGCAAAACTTTTTCAATTATATTTTCCAGATTACAACTATCCCCTTATCTGGCTCAGAAAAGGTAAGTTTATTCAGAGAAAGTACTTTTTTGTGTCCGATTTCGTAACTTAAAGTATCACCTTCACTAATTAGTTAGTATATTTGAGGTCACCCTCTCGAACCATTGAGATCGAGTCCTAGAACGTGAAGATTCGATCATTGGATTAAAAGATATACACAGTGGTCCTTTTTTTTTACTTTACATAAGACAATTAAACAACCAGAAAAATTATTTTCGTAAGGAATGAAAAGGAAAATAAAAAAAAGACAGAAAAAAAAGAAAAAACCTAAAAGCATATGGTTTTAGGTTTCTTCCTACATGGGGATATTACTTAAATCGTGGTGTATTTGCCATAACAAGAAATAGAGTGTGAATTTAGAATCCGAGTTTATACTCAAAAAAGATAAACAGTTTGAAATGTAGAGATATGTTTTAAAGCTAGAACTGTATTGGATAGTGATACGTTTCCATTCCTATATGTTACCAACGCTATAGAAATGCTAAAACTGCTATTTTGAAAAAATTCAAAATAATATATATTTTTTTAATTATTATTATCATTATTTTTAGGATGATGTGCCCTCATGAGTTTATTATTTATTATTCAGGAAAATAGCAGTTTTCGTCAAAAAAAAAAAAGGAAATTTAAAACGTCTATGAAAGAGTGATAATTTTTATAAACTATTTTACAAAAATCATCTAACAGAAAACGATTAAAAATATTTTTTTTAAATTTTTTTTAAACATCTATAAGACACAAGTTTGGAAAAATAAATAAATTCGTGATTAGCAGAGGAGGAAAATGAACTGTCAGTTCTAAATTTTCGAGAAAACCTGTAATCAAAACCAAAACTAAACTTCGTGAAGGATATGCCACTTTAAAATCAGATACTTAAAAATAACTTAAAATATGACAAAAGAAAGCGAGACTACTTTCATTCTACAAAAAGAAAATTTTTTATTTTTAATTATAAATTTTTTATTTGTAATATATTAAAATAAAATAAATTTTTATTTTTGGAAAAGATTTGAGAAGAGGATTGACTCGGGTTTATAAAATTTTATATATTATTTTTTGTCTGTTGCAAGCAAATTTAGCCTGCTAGCTCTAGTTTATGGTATGCTGCTGCCCTCTAGTATCGAAAAGCAATAACATAAATAGGAAAATTTGAATCCTGAAGTGATTCACGTGCTAAAAAAATGCTTAAATAAATTAAACTTACTTCAAAAATATTCAAAAGCTTGAATAAAGCACTTTTTAAATGCTACGAAATTTTAATTCATTTGTAAGGGAATCATATTCAAATATGAAATATTTAATTTTACATAGAAATAGAACGTGCTAGTTCATAAATTTTCCTAATAGATGGCAGCATCATAAATAGAAGAGCTGACACATTTTACAATTTATTCATTAAAAAAAAAAAAAAAAAAAAAAAAAAAAAAAAAAAGATGCAAAATTAGTTATGCAATTAATAATTAAGCTAAGTACAATAAAAAAAGTAGCTCAAATTTTTACTTAAAAAAAAAGAAAAAAACTATTTCATTGCTAAAATGAAAAGCCTAGTAGGAAATAAGTTAGAAATCTGTTGTAAAATTATGAATGTCTGCTTAATGAGATATCATTTTAGAAAATATTTATAATTGTATTGTAAATTTAAAAGAAATTTAATAAAATATTTAAATTTTTTTCAATATTTATTAACGAATTTTTTCTTGTAAGAGAAGATAGATTTTCCCCTTTTGAAATATTTGTTTATTTATAGTTAAAATAATTATAAAGGTGTAAAAAAATAAAGTTTAACTTTGAAAAATGAGGAAAAATTAATTAATCAAATGAACTACTCAGATATGCTCTCTATATTTATTAAATATTTTATTAAAAATCGTTCTGAGTAGTTATATCTTCATACAAGCGTAATGTTTGATTAATAGTTAAATGTAAGAATAATTGTACTACTACTGATTTTTTTTCTTCCTTTTTTAGTGCGAATTTTTTGAATTAATGTACTCAGCATTTAATTTTCCAACCACAGTAGTGATTTTGAAGCTTTCGATGATTTATTTTAATTTAAGCTAGGTCTATTGGATGTTATTTTTCAATATAAAAAATGATACTATTGTATTTAAACGATGCTATTTATTTCTAAAAGCAATTGCATAAAATGTGGTATCTTTCTCACTTTTCATACGTTGCTTGGAAATATTCTTTATAAGAAATGATTCCTTATAATAGAAATGACTCCTAAAATAATTCTTATTGTTCCTGTAGCTCTTTCAAAGGAATAACTCTTCTTAGGGAGAAAAAAAAATTATATTTGAAAAAATTCTTTGTAGGGCTTTATAAAAATTCCTCCAAAATTATAAAGATAAAAAATTGAATTACCCGATGTGAAATTGAAATATTCTTCGATTGAAGCTTTATAAACATATTTAATTAACATACTGGATGTTGATAAATATAGTGGAAAATCAAGAACTTTATAAAAATTCTTGACAGCCTCTTAAGAGACAAGAAATTGAAATACCAATTGGGAAACTAAAAAGTTATTAAAATAAAACTTTATAAGCACTTTTAATTAATATAATGGATTTTATAACTGTAGATGTTCATTGATACAGCCGAAAATCCAGGGTTTTATTGCCTACATTCATCCTTTTGCTTCTCCTCTTATAATTGCTTACACTCGTCTTGTAAGTTTTGAGAGACAAAAAATTTATATACCCATTGTGAAATTAAAGCATTATTAAAATGATTCATTTTAAACACATTTAATTAATATGGATAAAAAATTTTTAGTTTTACTTTATTTCAGACATTAAATTATAGATATCTGAGAATATAGACACAAAATTTATAACATCACATTTGCTTTTTAAAATCATTATAATTAGATCAAATCTTTTATTTTCAGGAACAAATTTATAATGGAAATGCATCAAGAGAAGCAGAATTCAAGTATGAAACTTCAAGTCCAGCCTCTACCAGATGTTCTGTTGGCTCACCGAGTGCATCAGCGAGTGGAAAACAAGATTCTGAACGGACAGAAGACCGAACCGCTGCGACTTTATGTGTACCATATATTAATGGTTGCAATTACCCCATGGCTTTTCCATATTGTGGAATGTCTGAAGCAGGTAAATTATTTCAACTATTTCAACACTGTAACTTGATTTTCATGTTTTGAGCTAGCACGATTTGAAACAAAAGTGTTGATATTTCGTGTAATAATAGACAAATACTGTGTCATATAATCCGATTTTAGAGTCAATAAAATTTTTTTTGAGTTCAATTATTTAAAGAAGTGAGCGGAAATGGAATTTTGCGTTGCATTATTTGAAGATGTGAACAGAAATGGAATTTTGATTTGCATTATTTGAAGATATTGACAAACATGAAAATTTGAGTCGTATAGTTTTAAGACGGAAATAGATTTTGGAGTTGGATTATTTAAAGACAGAAACAGATTTTGAAGTTGCATTATTTAAAAACAGAAACATAATTTATTTGAGTTGCATTATTTAAAGACAGAAATAGAATTTGGAGAATATAATTAATTAAAGATGTGAACAAACATGGAATTTTGTTGTTGTTACTTATCTCCAAAGGTCTGACGGCGTCAGACCAGATCCATAAATCCGTTGACGAGCAAAAAACATGGAATTTTGAATTGCTTCATTAGAAGACAAGAACATAAACAGAATTTTAAGTTGCATTATTTATAAACAGAAATAGAATTTGGATTTGCATTATTTAAAGACATGAACAAACATGGAAATTTGAGTTTCCTCATTTAATGACGCAGAATTAGAATTGTTAGTTGCATTATTTAAAGACATGAACTTAAAAAGAATTCCCAGATGTTGTTCTTGGGCTTTGCTTAGAAATTGAATTTCGAGTTGTGTTTGTAATCTGCTATGAATGTTATATTATGCCTTGTAAATTTGAATTTTGTAATAAACGAGACCATGAAATGAGGTAATGAAATGAAATCAATCAATATGAGTTTTTTTTTTATAGAGTTCATGCCAAAGAACCTAAAAATAAAAGATTCATTGCTTTAATTCTTGATAATATTGCTTTAAATGGATAATTAATCAATTATTAATCAATTGAATTTAAATTATTAAATCATTGGTTTAAAATTTCTCGTAATATCTGCGCTTTTAAAAAGGCAAATAAATTCGATTATTTTTTTAAAAATATTACCTTTTTTGGCGTAGATAAAAACAGCCAAAAACACGTAATAATTATTAATTCTTAAAAATGTTTACGAGCCTAGACTATGCTGCGCTAGAATTACATTTCAGTTATGAAAAATTTGACGAAATACGCTTTTTATTTTCGCAAAACTGTAGCTTGCATCCTTATTAACATTTTCCTCCATTTTTATAATATTAAAGATAGTTACAACTTTGTAGTCATGAATAACTGTCACAAACTCGCAACAGTTATGAAAATATCATACCATTCGATAAAAAGCTGTATTTAAATCAAAAAAAGGTTTTAATATTTTTAATTCCGCTTTTATTGTTAAAAACTTCGATTATAATTCGTCAAATTTCGATAATTTTTTTTCTCTTATATATGAATATTTCCATTTTAATTATTGCAAAGAATAAAAAAAAAATGAGTTTCAATCATGGTAATACAAGGCGTTGTATATTGATTTTTATTAAATATTTATTTATTTATTTATTAATTTTTTTTTCTTACTGTAGATGGATTATATAAATGTGAAAATTGTGCCATCAATTTTAATAGTCGGAGAGTTTTGGAGGCCCACCAATCCCTGTATTGTCAAGGAAAGACTTACATTACAACTCCTAGTTCTGATACAGACACAGAAGACAACCAACACACAAATAACAAAACAGGTTAGTCATTGGTAGAAAATAAATAAAAGAGAATTTGACGATGTGATTTCGATATATTTTTAGTATTAGTAGGGAAAAAAAAATTAATTTTAATTCAGAAAATTTTCAATATTCAGCAAATTATGTTATAAGTACTTTAAAAAAGAAAAAATTTAAAAAAAAGAAAGAAAATATGCAACAAAAAAAAAAAAAAGAATATCGAGTTTGCTTCCTATCTTTAAAATGTAATTTGCTTTGCTAATTGCTATTTTGCTTCGTTTTTGGACGCAATTAGTTTCTTTTTTCTAAATAGCTACAGTAAATAAAATTACTTTTTAAAACATTCAGTTCTCTCTCACTGTTTAATTTTTTTTATTTTCAATGAAAGTAAACTGTGTGCCTGTACATTTTAAAAATTTTGACTTGGAATAGAAAATTTTAAAACCAGTACAAAAAGTATAGAGTACTAAAAACATTAGTGCTGCCATCTACTGACAGGCTGTAAAGTTTTTTTTCGTGTGTTAATTTACGGAAGTTATGATTAAGATTATATTTCACAAAGGTATCAGTTCTTTTTCTTAAATCTATGTTTGCATAAAAATATTTTTCTTGAAAAAGTGAAAATTTCTAGTTTTTCTTAGACATCTTAAAAAAAATTAAATTGATCAAAAAATTTTTTAAACAAGCGTTTATGTTAACTGTATATTTAAAGTAATAATACTATACATTTAAAATACTTATTTATGAATCACACGAAGAACTAAACGTTATATTGAACAAAAAAAATATTATACACAAAAAATATCATACATAAAATGTTATATTATGCACAACAAACTGGTAAAATAAAGATTTATAAATTGAGAAGTGTGAAAATTCCTTCCTGTTTAACATTAAAAATTATAATTGATCCAATACGAACAGCTAAGCGAGGTCTATTAATAAATAAAAAGGTTTATAGATTATGTACGAGATATTTAAAGCAACACTTGACTTTCGGCGTAAATTAATCTCTGAAAGAAATAATTAAAATACACCAAAGATACTAATTTATCTAAATAATATTGGTAAAATTTTTTCTAAGCGTAATGCCACAATTGACTAGTTTTTAACTCTGAAAATTCGTACCAGCTGAGTAATAACTTTTTTTTTTGGTGATTAATAATTTTTTTTGGATAAATAGGAAATCCTTAATTATGACTATACTAAATAATAATACACTTTATTATTATATTAAATTTTCTAATAATCTGTTCCTTTGCACATGAATAAATATTGGCACAGCGTGTTGAAGAGAACCAGTTAATTCATGAATTCTTCGTGCAATGTGCATTATGAATTTATGAATATGCATCAGTACTTTCAGTCTCATTCTTTGAATTTTTTCTTTATTTTGCATCATAATAGTAAAAAAAAGCTATAAGAAAAGGAAATCCTGATTAATGGATTTTACTCAGAAGTTTTAATGTCCAAAACATGATGTTATTTAGCTAAACGCAAAAGAATCATTTTCGTTATTATTCCAAACAGGTTTAATTTATAAGCCTAAGTGATAATTATTTTCTCATTCTATGTGAAAACAGAACAGCTTACCTATATATTTTCAGATTCATTTTAGCTATTTGAAAGATATTACCTAAAGTTAAAACGCTTAAAAACAGGTCTCTTTTTACAAAATATTTATATTTTCTGTTATTGTATCATTGGCCGTAAAATTTACAATAAAATATGTTAATATCATTTCAACTATTGATATAATCACGAGGATAACGATATTAATCCATTATACAAAATGGAATCCGTGGAGCATTCACCAGTCAATCAAAGGGCTCGTCCTAATATTGCCAAAGCATAATTTTTGTAACTTAGGGCCTCCCTTCCCTTGTCAGCAAAAATAAAAGAAACACAAAAACTCCCCCTTAATTATGCAAGAAAGTCGCAGAATACTCCCCCTCCCCAATTTTTTTTCCCCTTTGGGCTTCACTGTGTGAATCTAATTCTATGATTAAAATCAAATAAACGATGTACCTTTACATACAACAGAACTTATGTTTTATTAATTTTTCTTCTTTTTTTCTTCTGTAACTTTAACTCGACCTTTGAAACTCCAATAAAGAAAATTCAATGTTTTTCCTTCCAAGTTTATTTATTTATTTATTGCTATCGTTATTTTTTTAAATTTAAAAATAAAAATTGAAATCAATGTGATTTTAATGTCTTACATAAGCATTGCTAATACCCGTCCTCCTCCCTTGTTTACTAAAAAGAGCAAATCACTAGGCCCCTCTTTCCATTAAGGGCTTATGTCTAGTTCGAATGGGTCCAAGGTAAATCATATTTTTTTCTGTATTGAAATTAACGCAAAAAGTATTTAACAAATTTAAAATAAAATGCTGCAATACTATTACAAAATGTGGGTGATGTTATTTAGATCTATTTTAAAATAAACATATTTTGAACTGAATATGTAAACCATACAAATAAAAGTGACATATATCACTTTTACCTTAATCATCTTCATGCGATTATCTTTTATAATCGAAAACTATTTTTAAAACGTTTATTGCAAATTCAAAACTAATTTTTCTGTAATAGTTTAACGAAAAATGATCATCCTACATATTCTATACATTCCTTTCAGTACACAAGTCTTACACGAGCAAAAACTGTACACATTTTTAAATAGGATTTGGTATTGTTAAATAATTTGGTATTGAAATAATTAAATAATTTGGTTAACTTGGAGAAAGAGGTCAGTGAAGGCGAAACAGCCACTGCAAGTGCGAACTCTGTTCCATTGAAGGATCAAAACTTCTTCTATTATGGCGTATACAACCTACACATCAATGGTATCATAAGGCATCCCCTGGTACCCTGCTGGACATTAATGCTACCTAGGAACCCAGACTGCTTTGGCAAGACTTGCAAGTGGCCATCTTGAGTGCTTTACTTTTGAGGAAGACAGAAAGATCTCCCTTATTTTCAAAAAGTGCTGTATTTAACCAGCTTCGCCTGAATTCTGGTTTGCCTTTGAGTTTAAAAGGCGGATCTTACCTCAGATCCCCCTTTTTTGCAGATTTTCTTGCTGTCAGTGACCTTCTAGAGCTTATCTGACGTATGTAAGATTATGAGGAATAAGCAACAACATAATTTTGGTATTGATAAATCCAAAAGGATTTAATTTTGCTTTCTCAATTCTTTCAAAATTATATGAGATGAAACGTCTTCAAATTGTTGGATCGTAAATATTTAAAACAAAAGAATAAAAGAATCATTAAATAATTTATATTATTTACATAAGAGGACAGTTGCATTATAAATTGATGTATGAATAAAAGAAAGAACGCATTATTCCATTAAAAAGAAACACTACTAAACCTGGAAAACATTTACTTCTACAAAATAATCCATTAATATATACCATTCTACATTTTTCTGAATAATGTCACATTTATTAAGATATCATATTGTCTGAATAACATCATTACATTTTTTTTATTATTGTATTTGTTTCCAGAATACGGTAGAGATAAGCAATAAACCCAAAGTATCGTTATTAGAAAACGCCATTTCTACAAAACTAATTTAGCCGAAAATAAAATGCAGCTCTCGAAGTATGTATTAAGATAACGATCAGACAGAACTGAGGTGAAAGATTAATTAATTATCAAAGCGGAGTGTTGGAAAGACCAGCTTCTCCCACGGTAGTTTTCATTAAGTTTTGCTTTGAACATGAAAAGCATTTGCTCTCAGAAGTGAGGATTAATTATTCAATCAGGATTTCATTACAAAGCTTTTGGGTTGCAAGGATTTTGTCGGAATGAGTGAGTAAAAGGAAAAGTTATGTAAGTGGGTGGAAGTAAATATACGTACAGCGAAGTTCCTGTCCATTTATCTTGCCCTCCATGTTATTCTTCCTTTCATCAGTGATTTGATTAATTAAAAGTAAAACATATTTGGAAGAGCTATGGGAAAGGTTTTAATTGCTTCAGTGTGTAATGTGTCTTTTTACTTAAATGTCTTAAACTTTTTGCTAAATTCAGAGCTTGCGTTCCTTTTTCGGGATGCATATGAGTCAATAAGTTGTATGGAATAATTTTGCATAAATTAGTGGGAAATGTACTAAGATAATGACTGTACAGAAATGAAGTAAAAAATAAATTAGTTATCGAAAATTGTGTTAGAGACACCAGTTTCTCCTAATATATCTGTAATGCATATCTTTACATAAAAGTAAAACATATTTGGGAGAGCTATGGGAAAGGTTTTAATTGCTTCAGTGTGTCTTTTTACTTAATAATGTCTAGTTGTTGTCAAGTGGCTGTGGATAACTATATAAACTTTTAGCTAGTGCCACCTAGTGAACAAATTCTGAATTTCCTCTTCTTTTACGGAGTGGCTGTCAGGAACTAAGTCACAGTTTTCTGGAGAATAATTTCGCAGAAATTAAAATGAAACAATCCAAGTATTGGGATAACGACTATGCAGAAACGAAGTGAAATATCAGTTTATTGTCAAATGGCTATGAAGAGCTAGAAGAAGCTTCTTGCAAATGTAATCTACCAATTAAATTCAGAGTTAGTTTGGGTTCTTAGTAAAAGGCACGACTTATAATGTTAAATAGTGGTAAATTAGGGAATGATTGATTTAGTTAAAAAAAAAGCACTGTAAGCACAATTGTGATAAGACTTTTTAGACTTAACTTTTACTGTAACTTTAACTTCAGAAAATGAGAAATAATTAGTTCTCACTATTTCTCCTATATAGTTTTATTACAATTTTATTATTTTTAAAACGAAGATAACATTTTTTTTTAAATACGGTACTAATAATAAAACGATCAACAATTGAATGGTTGAGTTATTGGTGTTGCAGCTACGATTGATTCAATCCCAACTTATTATTAGATGTAATTCTCGCTTGGTTGATTGTTAGAAATTTTGCAATGTTAATTTTGAGTATAAATGAGATTTTGAAATGCATCAGGGTTGTTTTTCAAGGTTTATAAATTATGTTTATTTAGGTACTAAATAAAGAATGTGTGATAAATATCTGTAACAACCAATATTAAAGAGAAAAAATATATTATTCATTATATTGACCATAAAATGTTTTTTTTTTAATCCATGCCAAAAATAATATCCCAAACTTTCACACATTAGAGGTTTCAGATTAAAATAAATATTGAGAGAGGAAAAAGATTTTACCATATTCTGATGAATCATTAACAATATCATCAGAGTTTAAAATTATTCAAAAACCTGTTTATTTGGTGAACGAAACAGTGAAATAGAAAGGAAGTTCCCGATGAAAAAAAGTTCCGGCAAGGCATTAAAATCCTTCATTTTTGATTCTAACTGATATCAATAACGCTTCGTCAGATTATGTTTGATTTATTTCCTTATTTAGATATTAATTTGTGATTACTGTTACATTGGTATATTTTGACATCCTTTTTTAAGGAGTTTTAAAGTAAGTGTGGTAATTACAGAAAAAACCATATTATTTATTAAATTTTTTTTTCTAATTTCAGACACAACGAATATAAGCAGTTCATCAGCTTCTGAAGAAGGAGAAAATCATGTAAATAAAGAATATTCAGTTGCAAAAAAGCAAGATGTTGTACCACAAGAGGATCCTTCATTCTTGGCGAAAAGAAGGCGAACTGCCTCAGTGAATGAACTGTCGCCGGTAATTCCAAGATTGTCCAGGCTTTTCAAATGTCCTTATTGTAGTTATTCATCGGATAAGAAAGCTAGTCTCACTCGTCACATTCGAATGCATGGTCAATCTCCTGGTACAGATGGACAATGCGACATACCTCTGGCAACACCACCAATGGCAAGATATTGTGCCAATTGTGATATACAGTTTACAGCTTACAAAAATTACCTGGTATGTTTAGGACATAATTGTCTTTAGTTTTTAGTTTTATTCTGATTACTTAATACAATAGAGTAAAAATAATAATAAAAGCACAACTAAATGATATTTTTTACTATATCTATCAATTCGTTATAAAGAAAAAAATATTTTGTATGTTAAGAGAGATTAAAGTACAATTTGCCTTTTTCAGGTTCATAAAGAATTATATTGCAGTACAAGACACGTTCATAAATCAATTCCTCCTTCATCTTCTCCAAATTCTGGAAACTCATCTCAACAGCAACCGCCATCCCAAAGCCAACCATCTCAACCAAGATCACCAGAACAACACCCAGCTCAACAACAAGAACAAAATCCAAAGAATTACAACATGGTTCTTAATCAACCTCTCTACGCGGCCATATCAACGAGTCCACTAATACTCGTTCCATGCTCCTATGTTGCTGGCGGTGGGTTATCTCCAGCAGCTGGGTTAGTACCCGCGGGCAACATCATAATACCAAACCCATCAGCTTCACCAGATGGAGTTACAGAACCTTCTGGAACGAATGTGATACCAACTTATACCGTCATGCCAGGTGCTGCCCCAGATGTTAATTCTGTTTCCCCTTCTTCAGGGGGTGAGGATGCCACAAAAGATGATGTTAAGCCGGTGAAACCAGTGAAGGAAAAAACTGTTAAGCAAGATGTCTGTAAGAGTCCAAAAGAACCTCAAAGCGTTGGAGTAGAAACGCCTCTTGATTTAAGCATCAAAAAACGTGATGACTCTATGAAATTGAATTCGGTGAAATCACCTCAGGAGTCAGGTATGTTAATGGAGACAAAATACACACTTTATGCGATTTGCGATTATTGCTTGAATTATTTTCGTCGAATTTGAATTATCCACAATGTGTATTTATGAAGTAAAAATTTAAAATTAATAAGTTTTCTTTTCCACATAAGTTTTTTTATTGCTAGATTTATTTTTTTATTAAATCTAAATTTGATTATTTTGGAGAATTTTGATTTTGTAGTATTTAAAGTGTGCGTGTGATAATTTGGGAAGGGAAGAAAAAAATTTTACTAAATTTCTTCCATGGAGGTAAAGAATGTGGGCTACTTTGTTCAACAAATTCATTTTTCAAAAAAAAAAAAAAAAAATAACAATGCACTGTAAAATGCTCCGGATCCAATTACAGTAAAAAGTACCGTTACTCTTCTTTTACTTTTTAATGTAAAATCCATTTTTATAGGAATATGTTACGAAATAAAAAAAATCTTATATACCGTAATTTTTACAATAACAATTACGATGAAATCACTGAATTATTCTAATTAAAAAAATTTTACTATAAAAATTTTAGTATAAGATTTTATGGTAAAAATGGGTTTTACGGTAAAATAAATTTTGCAAATAATGCACCCGAAGTTCAAATACTTTATACCATAATTTGATACAAAATTTCTTAGAATCTAAAAGGGAACCGTTTTGCTATGCTGGAAAATAGAAAAACTATAATCTTCTGTTCTTTTATAGCATGTTTTTGTGACAGCTAAATATCTATACATTAAAATAAAGATTTGTCTTCCTTTTTATAATACAGTCGAAAAAACAAAGACGTAAACTCTGGTAGCTTTTTTTTTGTAAATGACGGTAACTTTCAGAAGCGTTCCAAAACCCAAAAACAGTTAAATCCAAAATTCTCTCGATAATATTTTATTTAAAAATAAAAATTTCCCGTCTAAAATAAAGTACCAAATAATTTTTAATTTAGCTAATGTATTTTCAAATACTCGCAATTAGAAGCATTCTCAGGGTAGCATTTAAATGCAATTAGTTCGAGGGCTATACATTGTATACGCAAATTATATCGCAGACAATATTTTAAATCATGAAATTAAGCAAAAATAACATATTTTCTGGGTGCTACTCTTATATTCTTAGTTATTTATTTTTGGCTAATTTGGTTGTCAAATCCACCAAAGCAAAAGAAGTAACCGCAGTTTCTTAATGTTGTCATCATATTTTCCTTTCTTCCCGTATTTAAATTTTCAAAAATGCTTATTCAGAGAAAGATCTGTATTGTAAATCAAGTGTTCTTATTGATTAAACAACTTAGTCACGATCTAGTTCTTCAACCATTTAGAGTCTATCATAATAGACGAAAAAAGTATGATAAGATCAAAAATTAACGAGAGTGTTTTTTTATTTTATTGTTCGTTGTACCTCGGAAACTTTCTTAAAACGCAGAAAATACCTCATCTGAGATCAAATGCTTGGATGAGAGTAGTTTTTTGCTGTTGATATATTCTTGCAATTAATTTTGCAAACCATTTCCAGTTTCATTAATATTCAATTTCCGATGAAAAAGTTTACTTTTAGATTAATTAAGTTTATAACACTTCTAATATATAACGTAAAAACTAACGATAAAAGTTTTCGGTTATAACATTTCTTAAACCGTTGACTCAACTATGAAAAACATTAAGAATAGTTAATTTTTCTAATTTTTTCCAGACCATACTACGTAACTACGATTTTTTTCCAACGTATCTCCAAATAATCCTTAGTATTAAAAAGAAGTGTTGGGCTACCAAAGCGACGGCGCCATCCCCTTCGCAGAGGATCAAAATTGCGATGCATGTCTTCGGATCATCCTCAGGGATTTTCTAGATCATCACCAATAGCTCATTGTGCAGCTATAGTGCGACATAAATAAACAGCAAACAAACTAATAAAAAGTGGCTCCATGATTTTGCTTGGGAAGGATTTTTAGGTTTAACGGGATATCTAACAAATCAAAAATCAATAATTATTCCACATTTATCCTAGATTCATAAATATTCGTCTCACCGAGGTCAAAAAATATTTTAACATTTGCAACTTTTAAAGTGAAGGAAATATAAAAATGAACTTCTAAATACCTTACAAGATCTTTTAGTAATTTATGAATCTACTAATAATTTATGAGCATATTTCTGAGTCTACGTTCCTTTTTTTGTGTGAATTAGAATAGGATTTATAATGCATTTGATACAAACTAAATTGCATTTTAATGCTTTTTAGGTGTTCGCCGCATTCCTGTCTTCACATCTTTATCTACAGCATCAACGGATGAAAGCACTAAACAAACACCATCAACAGCTCATACATTGCCCGTCATGCCAATAGTCAATCCTGGCGTCGAGCTGAACCTCCTTGCCAGAGCACAGATGCCTTGTGCTGAACCTCCTGCTCCAGTATTAGGTCCACCTCAAGTATTAGTGAAGCAAGGGACCAGTAAATGTAACGAATGCAACATTGTATTCTACAAATATGAAAATTACTTAGTACACAAGAACAGATACTGTGCTTCAAGAACTGTTCAACAAAAACCGGAAGTTGGTTCACCTGAGAGAATTAAATCAGAAGACGCTGATTCTTCGGACAGAGATGAAACACGTAGGTTATAAATAGATTGTTAGAAATTAGAGAATCTCGGGTGAAAAAAGTTATAACTCACTTCTCACATAATAGTTTAACTCCAGAAATTATATTATATTATATAAATTATAAGAACAAGAACTAATATTTTGCTCAACTAATGTTTAGCACTATTATGGGATTTAATACTTAATAAGTTTTCTAAGTTGAAACTAAGTTTTTTAAGTTTATTCTTAACACTAAGAAAGACTGAAAATTAGTATGTACCTATATTGTCCAAAAGCAGTCAAAATGACTGGATTGTGAAGGAATAACTAACGTGTAAGGAAATTTGTTTAAAATTAATTTTTAATATTTTTATATTATTTACAGTTATATAACAAGTTATTAGTAAATATTAACAATAAAAAATTATATGTTGTACAAAAAGTTACAAAATTCGTAGAAATTCTGTCATTATATACATCATTGTTTTTCTATTAAAAAGCAGTCAAAATGACTTTTAATTAAAAAGCAGTCAAAATGACTTCCTTGGGAATTCTAGTGTTAAATGGATATAGTTTATTCCGACTATAATTACATATTTCATGAAAATATAAATCTGTTTATCTCTACATTATAAAATGGTGGTTACTTCTTTATAACTAGAGGTCTTCAATTGAACTATAGATTAAAATTTTATATTCAATTTTGTTGAGAACTGATCAATGTTTAAACATATAATCTAATTAGTTTGGAGTTATAGCGCAAGAGCCAGTCATGGTCATATCGCACCTACAACTTGCTTTTTATAAAATATCTAGGTTGCGATATAAAAGCTAGATTGATGTATCAAAACCAATGACTTTGAGGTTTCAGAAAAGGTTGTCGTGGGGATTGTTTCCAATTAATAAAATGAATGATGGATTAAAGCTACTAAAATGGTGTTGTCTTTGAACTTTAAATTTGCTACACTTAGTTAAAATGTATTTCGGAGGTTTCTTAACAGGTTAAACATTTTGTATTTTATTACATATTTAGCATTTATCATTTATTTTTGATTTTTTAACTGCAAATTGCTGCCGCCAAAAAGCATTGTATTAAAATACAGTTTTTATTTACAGTTGTAAGACAGACGCAAAAAAGTCCTTTGTCCTCTCCAAGAGTCAACAACACGAGAACTCCCCCAGTTTCGGATGTCGTCGATTCAAGAGAGTCTTCCCCAAATCAACAGCATGCTGCTGCTGCTTTGCTTCAGTATTACTGCATGGCCTGTGGCATCAAGTACTCTTCCATAGATAATCTAAGAGCCCACCAACTTTATTATTGTCCCAAGAGAGAAGTTAATACTGCACAACCAGTTGCACTAGTTCCTTCTTTCTCTAGAAACAATCAGGAATACAAATGCACAAAATGTAAGAATGCCTACCCAACAGAAGAACTTTTAAGGCAACATCCTTGTGTCGTGCAGAGGAAATGTCCATATTGTGACGTCTACTGTCCGACACTGAGTGCTGCCCAACGACATTTAGTGACACATACGGGTATTAAATCCTTCAGATGTTCTTTGTGTGGTTACAAAGGTCACACATTAAGAGGTATGAGGACTCACATCCGAATACATCTTGACAAAAACAGCTCAACACCTGAAGAAGCTTACATCTTGTGTATGGACGAGGGCGGTACTGAGATAGGTTGCGCCAGCAGAAAACCATCTGGCTCACGGCTTAACTCAGACAGAATCAAGTCTGTAATAGGTACTGAACCACCCCAGGGGGAAACAGTTCTGGCTGTGAGTCCAGTTTCTGGCCCTTCTCCAACCATGTTTCCGACTGATATTGTCGCGATCAAAGCTGTACCGGATGACCCAGTCGCGACTGGCGACACGACTCATTGGTGCCAAATATGCGGGTATTCATCATCATACAAAGGCAACGTAGTGAGACACGTCAAACTTGTTCATAAAGACCTTATATCCTCACAAACTATGTCAAACATTGTGAATAGTCGCCCTAGTCTTGAAAATCATTCGAAGACAAACGACAGCATGGAATCTGTGAGAGGTGTTACGCCACATGACTCAGCTGCCGAGCATAGTAATAGTTCGTCAAGTCTTGATGTAAAACCCATAGTGAATGGTATTTTGAGTAAAAATGAACAACCTTTGAGGGTGGATGATAAAACTTTGATATTGAAGAGTGAAACAGTATCACCACCACCACCATCTACTGCTGCCTCCTCAAAAGGTATAAAGCGCCCCCTGACGGATGAAGGACAATGTCAGGCTGGTACTTATAGTTCAAAGGCAGGAGCAAAATATTGTAAATCTTGTGACATATCTTTTAATTACTTGTCTAATTTCTTGGCACATAAGAAGTTTTATTGCACGCCAAGATCATCAGGGGAAGTTGCTGGACAAGAAGCCTCGACAGTGCAATCTGTTCAATAAGTATTTGTTTTTATAAAGCTCCGAAGTCGATCAGGCAAAATCAAAGTGCCAATTAATATTTATTAATTTAAGTGCAATCTAAATAAAGAAAATGAAAAATTTATGCATATTTAAAACTTAATGAAATTCCATTTTCAAAAACTACAGTTGTGATTCTTAATTTGCTGTTATGCCAAATTTATTTTTATTGTCAATGTATATGAAATCAGAATTGCTTTTTTAAAAAAAATTTGTTCTTTAGAATTATTAATATGTAAAAAGTATGTTTTATTATATAAAACAGCTTCCTTCAAAACTATAATAATTTTCTTTTGGTAAGAAAAAAACAAAAAAAAAAAAATTTGTTTTAAGATTTTAACACGAATTTTTCTTTCAAAAGCTCTCTTAAACTATGTTAAAATACCTTATATAAAATAAATAGTTTTTAATATGAATAATAATTAGTTTTATTTAAATTTTCTCTTTATTAATTTATTTTTATTTTTGGAAATTAGAAAATCACTCTAAGATTTCAATGATTATTAAAGCAAAAGTTTACTAATCTGTATTACTATTGCTTGTATATTTCCAATATACAAAAGGCAGTTGACTGGCTTTAGCATAACTTATTTTAACTTTTCTCAATTAGTATTTTATTCTTGAACTTTTGTTAAGCTATAAGTTATCATTTAAAAATGAGTATTTTAATCTTTAATAGCGAATTAGCTAACCAGGGGTCAAATAGCAATATAGTGGGTTTATAAAGGGTTGGGTGAAAATATTTTCATAATTTAAATGAAAACTTTAATTGTTATTTGTTTATTAAAAATCACATCATAAAATGGCTTTACATTTTAAAAAATGAAAATAATAATTAAAAAAGTTTATAAAAATAGGCATAGATAGTTTTTTAACACCTTAAAAATATAGATTTAACTGGCACTTCCTTATCAAATTTATGAAAAAATAATTTACATAGCATAAAAATTTTAAAAGAAAATAAATATTTTAAATAATTAATGCAGAAATTCAAGAGTCTTAAGATGAGTTTTAGTAAATTAGAAAAAAACTAAATTTTCTCCAAAAAATCCTTGGAATAAGGAAAAGGTTTCGTCAAAAAATAATTTATTTCCTAGTCTTTCCATGTTCATATAGAGCTAGTCTAAATCATTATGAATTGTTATTACAAATTGTATAGTTTTATAATATTTTGTTGCATTTATGTTTGTATTATAAAAAGAGCATCTTCTTACAACAATCACTAAGCTTTTATTTTTAACGTGTCAAAAGTAAATTTCTATAGGAATTTTGTTTTGAATTTAAAACATTTAAAGATAGAGGCTGAAAAAATGTATTTGGTTCAAAAAATTTTTTTTTATTTGGTATAATTTTTTCTTTTTTAGTTCTGAAACTAGACATTCTTAAAACTAAAATTTATTATTGAAAACTTGTGTTTTAAAAAAAAGTTGCAGACGTAATGAGTTTATGAGGCATTTTAAGATTATAAATGATATTTTAGTGATTAAACGGCATTTTGAGTAAACTTGGTTCAACTTTAACAAAAAATAAAAAATCATGCCTTGCTCTTATTTTTATAACCGCTTTGTCCAATTGGCGAGAGTTTCAAATCCATAATACTCTTTTAAACTGTTTGTGTCATAGTGTTTGCGCTAATAGCGTTTTAGTATGCTGCCAAACGAGGGACTAAAAACACTACTCCAAAAGCAATCCACTTAGTTCCATTACCCTCTCAGATTTGTGGCTTCAAGGAACAAAGCTAATCATATATTTAGTCCGTGATATTCAAAGTACAGCAGATACATAATTTTTAACAATGTTTATCAAAACAGCAACAATTTCAGTGCCTGTGATTTTTCTGTTTTGAAAATACTTTCATTTATAAAAATGTCAATGCCAAGAATTGACATTATTTGAAGCAAGGATGACATACTATAAGAGCAATTATCTTAAATTTGATTACAATTTGTTTTTAAGAATCAATACCAGTGGTTGTATTCTTGAAAACAAACTTAATATTGTGTATATTGTAACATTCAACTATTGAGCAATTTTGTTCTCTCAAATTCCTAATAGAAAATTTAGGCTTAGTGATATGTTTGAAGAAGAGCTCAGAGCATTGTACAAAGTTAAGTTTTATATATTACCAGTATTTCTTGCTGACTGAGTCAGAAAAGCGAGCGTGGCAATTTTTGTGCATTGTATCATGACTGAATTATTGCTGAAAGGCACTAGCCAATAAAATTTATGTAAAGAACTCGTAGATAAGTTTCTTTTTCAGAATGTGTATAAGGAAGAGGTATATTGTAAAAATAATATAATGTTGTTTTCTTTTCCGAACAATAATAAAAAAAAGCATTTTTAGTTTTGTTTGTTTACAAAAAACTTTTAAGATGTTTTGATTCTCTACTTGCACAAAAATAAAACTGCATTATTTAAAAAACTTTTTGTGAATTTTAAAAACTAAATGCATAAACAGGCAATTAAGAAATGTTAATCCATTGGGTAAACATGAAAGAAAACAAACTTAATTAGCAAAAATAGATACTATTAAGAGATTTACAGCTGTTTCAATGAAAAAAGGAAAAGAAAACATTGTCAAACATCAAATACATAAAGCAGCAGTAGAGGAATTTTAGATTAATGGGTAAATATGACAGAAAAGAACTTTGTTAGCACAAACAGACACAGTTAAGAGATTACCACTTTAAAAGAATATGATTAACAGTTGTGTTGCTCACTACTACACTTAAATAATTTAAATGCGTCAATTTTCTCATGCCACCTTGTTCGAAATATTTTATAGTGTGCCTTCTAAGGCACAGTAAACAAAATTAGCAGGCCTTAGCTTTTAATTCTGTACCAGAGTCTTTCCGACTACGGAGAAGTCAGCATTCCTGCAAAAAGAATTGGTGCCTGAAAGCTATGATACAACTGCAAAGGGTTAAAACTTTTAACATAAAATGTGAGAATTCATTAAGGAATAAAACGAATAAATTACAGAAAAAAGTTATTTTATTATATATGTTTTTTTTTACATTTATTATATTTTTTATGTGTTAACTCTAGATAGTACAACATTTAAATTTTGTACAGCGCTTTTAGAAGCACCCTTTTTCAGCTCATAGAGCATAAACGCAAAGAACGAGAAGAACATAGAGCATAATTTATTGCGCATTACATGGAAAAAAAAGTGACGCAAAGTCATTTGCACTTATGGAGCAAGTGCCTACATCTACAATCATCTCAATCAATAGAAGAAAAAACTGCAAATCCTTTGTTTTCTTGTACCCTTCACGGATGAGAGACGGCTGTGGACAATTCACCTTATTTAGCTCTTCATCAAAACTCCCATTTTCCTGGGAAAAACATTCGTGCATCATGAAGACAATTTTTAAAACATAAATCCAAATTTTGGTGCATTCTTTTTCTATTAAGCTCACAAATTAATGCTTCCCCCCTTTTTTTAACAGGTAAAATTAAAATCGTTTCAGTTAAAAATTCAGAATACCTTAAAAAATTTACAAAAATTTTTGTTGACTAGGAAAAGACTTTTATGGCATGTTTTATATTCAAAAAATAAATTATAAATAAAATTTGTATTTTTATTAAAATTCCACAATTAAACAAGACAATAAGTCAGAAAAATGCATTTTCTATAGATCACATTCTTCACTCCTTTCACTTTGGTATGTAAAACACAATATTTATTTATTTATTTTTTTTAAACTTTTTTCTTTCTTCCGTTTTTGTTAGGTCTTCTTTAGTTTTTTCTTATGTCTGTTTTTTGATCTCACGTTTTTTAGCTATAACTTTAAAAATTAAATAAAATTTTTAGAACAATTTAAAATTAATTACAAAATTTTTGCTTTAAAATGTGAAGAAAAAAAATTTGAAAACTGGGTAATATATAAGTAATTATGCTCGTTCTTTTATACTGCGCATGCCTGAAAAAAAATTATCGTTTTTTTTCTCATAATTTTATAGTATATTAGTCCTATTCGGCAGCTAATGAAAAAAGTCCGATTTAAATATCTTTTAAACTGATTTTCAATAGAATGAGAAAGAGAAGAAATGAATTTTCGTTAATAAAAATTTAACAAAAATTTATTTATCATACAACTTATTTTAAAGTTAATGTTACCAACGTTCAGATGTCATTCTTGATTCACCATGAATCTAAAATCTTTTCAGCTATCGAAATATATTAAAAAAAGTAGTCTCTGTTGTTGCAATCATAGATTGCGCAATATTTAACCGTAGTGGTAATCCTTCTTAAAGCACAAAATATTTAATTTTTATGAATTACATATAATCAAAATTGTGCTATTAATATTAAAAATAATTGTACGATCCGAAACAAAGCGAAATGGCGCATTTACAGTTTTGCCTCCTTTACTTTCATAAAAGTAATAGGAAAATCTGTTAATTATGCTTATACCAGGAAATCTTCCGGCACATTCTGAAGGAAACTTCCGGTGAATCTAATTACTATCTGAGAACTGGAATATTAAAATAATTTTTTTTTCTTATTTAAGGAAATATTTTTTTTGGTTAATGGAGGGCATTTGGGTCTATTTGCCTCAGAATGCCAGAATAGCTACTCTTTTATCGCTACCTAGTGAGCACCTAAGGCTAAGCCACGGCGGTGGAGTAGCGTCGCCCTCGTCATACAGCCACAAACCCGTTTATAGGGCTGGTTACATTCAAACAATCACACAGAAGAAAGGACATAGAGCACAGAGAGAGAGAAAGAAGCATTCATTCCCTGAGCGGGATTCGAAGCCGCAACCATCGGCTCCGCAATCAGGCACGCTAACCACTCGGCCACCTGGTGGGCATTAATACAGGGCATAAAATACAGTAAATCTATAATTGGCGTTTGCATTAATTCATAGCAAATTTTATAATGATTACAAAAAAGAGAGTGCAGATGAATATTGAAATATATATATATTATTTTTGATACAGCGCCCTTTTTTTACTATTTTACTATTAACCTGTAATTATTGTGAAATTATAATTTGTTTGTATTTTAAAATACTTTAATAAGCATTGTTCTTTGAATTAAATAATAATTCTGTATTTTCATCTTTCCCTAAAAAATTGAATTTGAGCATAAGTGATACGAAATTTTAAGCCAACAAATGGATGTATCTTGCAAATGTAAACTTTTATAAATTAAAGACAGTCAGCTTTATTAATAGACAGTAATACAAATAACAGCAAGTATAAACTGTATGAACAATAGATTAATTCCAGACTGGATTTTATAAAAAAAAGTATAGAATGATACAAAATTAATTTCACAAAAATATTTTGTACCAAAATTTGCTAATACATCAAAAAAAAATTTAAATACGGATATAAAACCATTGTATTAAAATAAAAAGTTAAAATTTTAATATGAGATCTAAAAAGTTTAAAAAAAAACTTTACACAGCTAATATATCATCACATACTTTGAAAAATTTTTTTAGCACAGAATCAGATTTTTTAAAAATATCATAATCGTCCCTATTTAACAGTTTCAATTTTACTAACTTCTATTGAAAAATAATTTAAATGACTAGTATTTTATTTAATAACGCTGAAAAGCAGTTAATTTCAATGGAAAGTGTATATAACATATTCTAAATAATAAAATTTTAAAAACAGGAACTATGAGAACTGTGGGTGTATTTATTTACCAAAAAGCAAAACAGAGTCTTTTTAAGAAATACCGCTATTAGCTAAATGAATCAAAATATTGATAGATATATTCAGAAGAAAAAAATTAAGCGTAAAACAGAAGCGTGAACTTAACTTAGAGTGTAGAGCATAACTATTTTATTTAGATTTATTATCTTTTGCATTTTAAAATAAAACGATATAAATTCCAGCTTATAGCTCCCACACAATTAAATAATAAATAACTCACTCATCTAATCATGCTTGAGAGAAAACGACTGAAGTATAGCTTAAATATCTGCCCCTCAAGTTTGATTCAACGCAAAGCAAGTATATCACTTAAACATAGGTGTATTCAACTCAAGTTGAGTTTAAAAAAATTTCAATCTTTTTTTAGAAGAATTCACTCATTCATTTTAACAGTGACATAAATTAATGAAACATAAATAATCTAATTATCCTGAGTTTATGCTTATAAGTAATTTGAAAAGAAATTAATTTCTGCCATATTATTAGAATTTATAGTTATGCAAATACCGCTGTAGGATATTTTTCGTGAGATTGAAAATGTTGGTAACTATATATGCTTTTTTTGTATAAGAAAGTACTATTCAATTAGGCAAATCATGCATAAGAGTCCCCTCACCGTCAGGCTAACCATGGGAGGTTTTCGTGTTTTTCCTCTCCAGGAAGAGCAAAGGAGAGTTAGTTCCATTAAAACTCATTGACGAAGGCAAATTTTGCCAAACAGTTGATCCAGGAATTCCCTTGTCTTCTGGATTGGGTACAAAATTACAAGGTTACGGAGTTAAAATTAGGCAATCGGAAACTCAAAAAAATTGGGTCGGCAGTTAAACGACGGTTATAAAAAAGGCAAATAAAAAAACTGCTATTGCTTAAAATATTCTTTGAAGTACAATGCAAGGGCTACTCATGCTAACGCTATTCTAGTTTTCACTTGGTCTATAGAAATTATTCATTTTAAGAGTCATAGTTATTATTAATAAGGATTATGAAAAAAATCAAATCACATTTTTTTATTTTAAAAGAATTAATCAACAATCATTTTTTTAAAAATCTTAACAAGCATTTATTTCAAAATATAGTTTTGCAATAATAACTTTTGTAGTAATAAACACAGAAGCTTTATGTTT